CAGTCACACACTCCAGCCCGGTTCCCAGCCCTGGGAACGTCTCCGCCGCAGCCGCAAACCCACCTTCCGGGGTGCTCAGAGGCCCCTTCCAGGGGTGTCACCGAGGTCCCCGCCTCCAGCTCCCGACGCGGGCTTCCCGGCTCCGCAGCTTCTGGCCCGGCCTCGGGGGCTAAGCCGGCTCCTGCTTCTCTTTCTCTCGTGCTCCCGTGAATTCTCAGCACTGTTCTTTTTTTTAAGGGACTTTTTTTTTTTTTTTTTTTTTTTTTTTGCGTTGCGTCAGGACGGTTGCCTGGCGACGGCAGAGCTATTCCGCGGGCTGCCCTTTCAGCCCGACACCCTCCAGCCTCCCATTCAAGCCTCTCCTCCCAGAGGCTCCGGGACCTGGGCGCGGGGTCGGGAGACCCGCACCGGGTCCTAACGCCCCGCTAGTTGCACGTTCCCCGCCAAGACCTGGACCAGAGCGGCCACCCCGCCACACGCATGGGCCAAACCCTAGGCGAAACCAAATCCAAATATCCTTTTCTTTCTTCTTTCTTTCTTTCTTTCTTTCTTTCTTTCTTTCTTTCTTTCTTTCTTTCTTTCTTTCTTTCTTTCTTTCTTTCTTTCTTTCTTTCTTTCTTTCTTTCTTTCTTTCTTTCTCTCTCTCTCTCTCTCTCTTTCTCTCTCTCTCTCTCTCTCTCTCTCTCTCTCTCTCTCTCTCTCTCTCTCTCTCTCTCTCTCTCTCTCTCTCTCTCTCTCCTCGAAACCTAAGCAGTGTTCCCACAAGCATGGCAACGTGGCTTTGCCACTGTCAGCAATATGCCTGCGTGGAGGGGGCAGGAGAACCCCCGTCTGGCACCGCAGAGCCCAGAGCTCATACTCCACCCACAGCGGCTGGAGTTCAAACCACCAGCAGCAACTCCCACTACCCAGTGCCCAACCTGTGCCCACTGACAGAGCGGCCCAGCAGGCAGAGGGGGCATTTCCTGCTTACAGATGAGGAAACGGAGGCTCAGAGAGGCTAGGTAAGAAGCCAGAAGTGGGGCAGAAAACAGACCTTCTTCCAGGTCCGTCTCCTAGACCAGCTGGGAGTAGTTGGAGGGACTTGACCCAAAGCGTGTGTTTCCCCCGCTAACCACAGGGTGCCTCCTGGCACATAATACTACGTGCTGTGTCAACCACTCGAGGTGGTTATATTCTCAATCTAGCTGCTGCTCTGCCAGAGCTTCGAGCTCCAGGTACCTAAGACACATACAAGGCAGATACCAGGGCAGCCCCAACCTGGTTTTCAGGATCAATATATTTTTGGAAATTATTTATTAATTACAGTATTACATATGTCTTCTTTCCTCCCCATTGACCTCTCCTCTGCCACTTCCACCCCCAGAACGTGACAGCAGATAGGATTCTCCAGTCCAGACCCTTGGGCCCCGCCTCCTCTTGGGACCACTGGCTGATGCCAAAGACCCTTGTGCTGCCCCCTAGTGCCTGTATCCTTCCCTGCTTCTCATCAGGACCTTGGACCCACTTCCTTTCCCCCTTCATTAGTGCCTCCGCTAATGGACTTGCCTAAGGAGGCATCCTGCTGATGTGAGCACCTCTTCATGCTAAGGGGTGAATGCTTCCAAGCTAGCAAGTCTGCTTGAACCCCTTTTGGAGAGTCACAGCTTCCACCCAACCTTTGGATTCCAGCTCCTGAATAGTGATCCAATCCTTCATCTCTTCCATCCCCTCTGCCTCTGCCCTGGCCCACGGCACCACGGCTTGCCCCATCTCCAGAACAGCCTCTTATTGATGCCTCTGCCCACTCTTGGCCCTCCACCGGCCTTCCCCGGAGCCAATTATTCCTGCACAGCCAGAACAAATTCTTTGAAATGGAAATCTGACCCTGGCTTCTCCCTGTGTAATGCCTCCCAACAGCTCCCATTCCTCCTGGGATTGAACCCAGTGTGGTCCACCAGGCCTGCGTGGTCCAGCTCCGCCCACCTGGGCTGCGTTTTGCGCCTTGCGTTTATGTTCTGCTCTCCAGACAGAGGCTCTTCCGGGTCCTTTTACACCCCTGCTCCTCCCACACAGGGCTGACCAAACTCCTGCCTCCTGAGGGAACCCCAGGTCCCATGTCCTTCAGCCTCACGGACCTCTCCTTCATCACGAGCTGTCACTTTATCTTTTGCGGTGAGGTTATTTGATTGGTATCTGTCTCCTTCTGAGGCTGAAGGCTCTGGGGGGCAGGAACCACGTTTGCAAGCTGAAGGCTCAGTTCAGGTTTGGGGACTTGGCATCCTCCTGGGTGGGCTGTCCCTGGCCACACTGCCCTGTGCTGAGTAGTGCTCTCCAGTGTGATCTGGCCTCAGCATGAGGTGGTGCTCCAATGTCTTCTGGGTGGAGCCATTCCAGCCCGTCTGGAAGTGCTTTCTCTCATCTTCATCTGGCCTGGGCTCCTGGATGCATTGCCTTCCTCCTCCACATAGATAACCTGCCCAGGACAGGGATAGGTCTTACCCTCGTGCCTCCCTTTCTGCCCAGCATTTGCCAGGTTAGGAGGATGGTCAGTGATGAGGACCATGAGAGCCAGCGAGGGAAGGAAAAGAGGAAGAGGAGGAAGAGCCAGGTCTCAACTCTAAGCAGATGCAGTAGAACTCTAGCAGAGGATAGTATGTAGCCATACAAATAATGTTTTCAAAAATATATTTGATGGCATAGGAAAATGCTGATGATTTCATGCTAAGTAAATAAATCTGGAACACTAAATGTCTAAGTAAGTAAGACATTGTGAAAAGTTTGCTTCTAATATCTAATACCTTGCTTCCTTCCCTTTCCTCTCCTTCCTTCCTTCTCCGGCTCCGCTGACTCCACGGTGGTCCACACCCACGTGGAGATGCTGGAGCTTTGGGGGGGTCTGGCTGAGAACCCTTCACACCATTGATCTGGGCTGTGCCAGAGGGAAAGAACTTCAGGTAACCATCCACACCATCAACCACGTGAGAGAAAAACTCTGGTCGGGCCACAGCGAGATCTGAGGAGGAGCCTGTTTAACGAGGCGGGGGTGGGGGGTGGGGGTGGGGCTGAGGTAGGATTGGAATGAAGGTGATTAGAAGGTACAGGCCTCACACAGGTGATAGGTATCATTGGAGGCACTCCTCAGCCCCAAACCCACTCACCTGGGACCTTTAAAGATGGCTGGCCTGCCCGGCTGGGTAACTCAGTTGGTCGGAGCATCATCCCCCTACGCCAAGGTTGCAAGTTCCATCCCTGGTCAGGGCACATAGAAGAATCAATCAATGAATGCATCAACTGGAGTAGCAAATCGACATTTCTGTCTCTCTCTCTTCTGCTCTCTCTCTTTCAAAAAAACAAAAACAAAAAAAACACAAAACAAACAAACAAACAAACAAAAAAACTTATCCTTGGATGAGCTAAAAAAGTAGGGGGAAAAATTAAATCTCATAATTATTTTTTATTTTTTATTTTTTAATAAATCTTTATTGTTCAGATTATTACAATTGTTTCTCCTCCCCCCCCCATAGCTCCCTTCCACCCAGTTCCCACCCCACCCTTAAACCTCATAATTATTGAAAAATTATGAAAGGCCCAGCTGGTGTGGCTCTGGTTGAGCAGTAATCCACGAACCAGGAGGTCATGGTTTGATTCCTGGTTAGGGCACGTGCCCAGGTTATGGGCTCCATCCCCAACATGAGGCATGCAGGAGACAGCCAATAGATGATTCTCTCTCATCATTGATATTTCTATTTCTCTTCCCCTCCTTTCCTCTCTGAAATCAATGAAAAAAATCTTTCATTGCTGAAAGAATTAAAATTTTTTTAAATGCTGAAAGAATTCCCTTTAAGATAAGATTCAAGACAGTCATGCCCTCTGTTACCAATCCTATTTCAAAGTAATTCTCAAGTCGAAACAGGTGTGGCTCAGTGGATACATTGTCTGCCTTCGGACTGAAAGGTCCCAGGTTCGATTCCGGTCAAGGGCATGTACCTTGGTTGTGGGCACATCCCCAGTAGGGGGTGTGCAGGAGGTAGCTGGTTGATGCTTCTCTCTCATCAATGTTTCTCTCTATTCCTCTCTCTTCCTCTCTGTAAAAAAATCAATAAAATATATATTTTTAAAAAGGTATAGCCAGTTCAGGGACAAGACTCTGAAAGAAAAAAGCAAAATGGATAAACCGTGATATGTTCATACATTTATGTCCTGTAAGGCAGGAAAAATAGTAAGTGGTTGCACACACAAATTTAACTCTACTACATCTCAAGAACATAACAAGAAGCAAAAAAAAAGTCTTAGAAGGATTTTTTCATTACAAAATTCAAACCAGGGAAAACTAAATACATCTCTTAGGGCTGTGGTTGACAAACTGCGGCTCGAGAGCCACTTGCAGCTCTTTGGCCCCTTGAGCGTGGCTCTTGCACATAACACCACAGCCTGGGCTAGTCTATTTGGAAGAAGTGGCGTTAGAAGAAGTTGAAGTTTAAAAAAATTTGGCTCTCGAAAGAAATGTCAATCATTGTGCTGTTGCTATTTGGCTCTGTGGACTAATGAGTTTGCCGACCACTGGGCTAGATGAATTTCACAATCATTTAGATTAAGAAGAGAGTCATTCCTGTTGCCTAAATTAGCCGGTTTGGAGAGATGGGAAGAAACTTTCTCACAACCAGAAACTCTGGGATTCATTCCGCCATCGAAATCCTGGTCAGAAGTATCTACCTTGGTAGGAAACCAGGAACTAAGAGCTAGACCCCACCCACCCAAGGTGTGGGCATGAAAACAAAAACAAAAAGAGGAATTGGTTTCACCTATTCTTAGGCCTGGGCATTACAAGCCCCCTTGAGCCAATGGAAGGAGAGCAATTCATGGGCCAATCACAGGGCTCCAGAGCCTATTTCCTCCCAGTTCCAGCTGCCACTCATTAAGAACCCGCCAGGTCTACCTGGAGGGGTTTCATTTAGTCCTCGTTCCGGTAGTCCCCTCTCTCTCTCCCTCTGAAGACTGTGATCTCAGTCCGGCTGGCGATGGCATCCTCCTTCTTTTCGGAATTCGGCCTCCCGTGGTACCTGAAGGAGCTCAGCCAGAAGGAGTTCAGCAGTTTTAAGGAGAAACTCAAGCAGGAACCTCTGCGCCTCGGGCTCCAGCAGATGCCCTGGGCTCGCGTGAAGAAGGCCACCCAGGAAGGCCTGGCCTCCCTGTTGATCCTTCATTATACAGAAGCGCGGGCCTGGGACGTGGCCTTCACCATCTTCCCCAAGATCGACTGGGAGGACCTCTGCCAGAAGGCCAGGAAGGAGCGTGGAAGACACGCGAAGGCCTACCGCGCTCACGTCCAGGAGAAATTCTGCGATGTGTGGTCCCGGGACACCGTCCTGCACGGTCATGGACACGTCGACAGGGTGCTCACCCAGAGAGAGCACCGGTGCCTGGAGCATCTCTTCGCCCCCAGGGAGCCCGGGAGACGGACAGTGATCCTGACAGGCGCCCCGGGGGTGGGCAAGACCACCGTCCTGGCGAAGCTGATGGTGGCCTGGGCGGAGGGCATGCTCTACCAGGGACGGTTCTCCTACGTGTTCTACCTGTGCTGCCGGGAGGAGGCACCGCGGGCGGTGGCCACCAGCCTGGCTGCCCTGGTCTGCAGGGGCTGGTCCGACGCCCTCGCCCCCGCCGCCGCCGCCGACATCGCCTCCGAGCCCGAGCGGCTCCTGTTCATCCTCGATAACTTGGGCTTCGAGGAGCTGGCGCACGACCTGGACAGGCCCGAGTCAGACCTGTGCGGCGACTGGATGGAGCCGCGGCCCGTCCGGCTGGTCCTGAGCAGCCTGCTGAGGAGGAAGCTGCTCCCGGAAGCCTCCCTGCTGGTGGCCACGGCGCCCGCCTACGCGCGTCTCCTCGAGCCCAGGCTGGGGCGCCCGGAGATCCAGACCCTCCCGGGGCTCACGGAGGACGAGATGCTGCTGAGCTTCGGCCGCATGTTCGGGAGGAGGCGGTGGATGGGCACCGTCACTTTCCACCTCGTCCGGGCCAACAAACAGCTGCTGTCCATGTGCCGGATCCCGGCCCTGTGCTGGGCCACAGGTGCGTGTCTGAAGCAGGAGATGGAACGGGGGAGGGACCCAGCGCTGGCGTGCCGGCGGGCCACCTCGCTCTATTCCTCCTTCGTCTTGAACCTGTTCATGCCCAAGGGGGCCCTCTGCCCGTACGAGAGGAGCCGGGCCCGGCTGGAGGGCCTGTGCGCCCTGGCCGCCGAGGGCATGTGGAGCGGCACGTCTGTGTTCGGGGAGGAGGATCTCCGGAGACACGGGCTGGCGGGCCCTGACATCCCCGCCCTGCTGGACTCCAAGGCCCTTCTCCGGGGCCCCGGGGGCTCCTCGTACACCTTCCTGCACCTGTGCATCCAGGAGGTCTGCGCCGCCCTGTTCTACTTCATCAAGGCCCACGGGGACCGCCCGAGCCCGTCGGTGGGCCGTGTCGGGGCCGCGATGGCCGCCCACATGAGCGGGACCAAGGCCCCGTGGCTCTTCCTGCCGTGCTTCCTCTTCGGCCTCCTGAACGAGAAGGAGCAGCAGAAGCTGGGGGCCTTCTTCGGCGCCCGCCTGTGCCCAGGGGAGGTGCGGCGGGCCGTGGAGCGGCACCTGCGGGGCGTCCGGGAGGGCCTCCGGGAGTGGCTGGACGCGCGGGTGCTGTACTACTGCCTCTTCGAGATGGAGGACGAGGCCTTTGTGCGCTGGGCCGTGGACCTGTTTCCGGAGACGTCCTTCCTGGTCACCCACCCCACGGACCTGGTCGTCCTCGCCTACTGCCTGGCGCGCGGCTCGGCCTTGAGGAAACTTGGCTTCTCCATCCAAGGCGTCTTCGTGGCCACCTCCAGGACAGATGACCAGCTCCTCTATTGGGATAGCATCTGCTCCGTGCTCACGGCGAAGGAGAGCCTCGAGGAATTCCGACTGAGTGACTGTCACCTCTCCGGGCCGGCCCTGGTGACCCTGATCAATCATCTGAAGCACCCCAGGTGTCGCCTTCCGGTGCTGATGATGAATAATGTTTCCTTCTCCGCCGAAAGCTGGTGTTTCTTTGAGGTGTTCAGTCATAGCCCGGGGTTAAAACACCTGGATCTCAATGGCACCAGCATCTCCCACGACGACTGCAAGTTGCTGTGTGACGCCTTGAACCACCCCGCCTGCAACATCGAGAAGTTACTGCTGGCGGGGTGTGGCCTCTCACCGGAGGACTGTGAAGGCTTCAAGGAGGTCCTGACGAGGAGCACGACGCTGAAGATTCTTGACTTATCCTACAACCGCCTGGGCCACGGGCTGTCCCTGCTGTGTGAGGCCCTGCGCCTGCCAGCGTGTGCTCTGAGGGGTTTGGGGTTAGTTGGCTGCCAGCTCAAGGAACCTTGCTGGGAACACCTCCGAGACGCCATCCTGGGTAACGGGAACTTGGCCCATCTAGACCTCAGCATAAACGACCTGAAAGACGAAGACTTGAACCTTCTCAGCGAGGCCTTGAAACAGCCATCCTGCTCCCTGACGTCCCTGGGTTTGTCGAACTGTTCCATAACTGCCAATGGCTGTCGGGACCTCGCCTCCATCCTCACGGGAAACCCAAACCTGAGAATTTTGCAAATCGGGCGCAACAACGTAGAAGACGACGGCGTGAAGCTGCTGTGCGAAGCTCTGCTGCATCCCAGCTGCTGCTTGGAGAGGCTTGGGCTGGAGGCGTGCCAGCTGACCAGCACCTGCTGCGAGGACCTTGCGTCTGTTCTCACCTGCAGCCGATGCCTCAAGGAGCTCCACCTGGCTGGGAACCCCTTGGACCGCCGCGGGGTGCAGTTGCTGTGCGCAGCCCTCAGGCACCCAGGGTGCGGGCTGCAGACTCTGGGGCTGAATAAAGCTGAATTTGACGCAGAAACCCAGGAGCTCCTGGCGGCCGAGGAAGAGAGAAACCCCTGCTTGACCATCACCCATCAGTGACCGAACAGGCCCGGGACCAAAGGGGTCAGCGTGGGCTTGCAAGCAACTTGGACTTTCAGACTCAACAGCAGCTTCCAAGGATAAGTATCAGAGCATTCCCCCCACCCTACACACACACACACACACACACACACACATACTCACACGCACACTCACACTCACACACACACACACTCTCACACTCTCACTCATACACACATACACACACACACTCACACACACACACACACTCACACACACACGTACCTGCTCTGTGCCCAGGAACCACAAATTACTGACCCCGGCTCTCCGACTCTCTCGGGACCCTATTCAGATGTGTTTTATAAATTGTGAATGGTTTTATTTGCTTTGTGACTTTGTGGCTAGCCATGGGGAGGCCTTGGAGATAATGAATGGCTCCCTCCTGTTTCACAATGACCTGTTAAACCCTCAATAAAGTTTTGTATCTTAAATATATATATATATAATTCCTTGAAATGTGTAGAAAAAGATTGGGAGGGTATCCTATCTAATAAAGAGTGGATATGCTAATTGGCCATCACTCCACCACAAAGATGGCTGCAACCACAGCTGAGGCCAAGTTCCCATAGGAGCCTTAACCAGCAATCAGCAGGGACCTGAGGCTACACCCTCCCCTGCCTCCATGGAGCTTGACAGGGGACCGCAGGCTGTGTCCCCCACCGGGCAGGGCTTGACAGGAGACCTCAGGTCGTACCCCCCACCCAGTGGGGCTTGATGGGGGACCTCAAGGTGCACCCTCGGTGCTGGGTCAGGGGAACTCAGGCCAGGGCCACCATCCTGTACCGGGCTAGGGGACCTCGTCCAGAATGGATCCTGAGACCCTTCAATCCACAGGAAGATGCTCTAACCACTGAGAAAACTAGCTAGGTCAAGAAAATGTTTCTTGACTCCCTTATTTCACAGGATTTCTGTAGGTCCAAAGAAGACCATGTCTCACTCGTCTGGAAAGGAAACTGCTCTGTAACCTGTAAAGTGCCGTGCTCCTGTCAGAGAGGTGGCTGTTGGCCCACATGTGCGTTCACTAAAATGGTCCAGATGCTGGGGCCAGCCATCTCACACAACATTACATCTTAAAAATCAAATTGGATCAAAAGGGCTGATCTGTACCTCAGTTGCAGGCTCTATCCCCAAGTACAGAAAGCAAGCAATTGATGTGTCTCTCTCACATTGATGTTTTTTTCTCTGTGTCTCTCACTCTAACCCCCCACTTCACTCTCTCTAAAATCAATGGAAACAATATCCTGCCCTAGCCGGGTTGGCTCAATAGATAGAGAGCATCAGCCCGCAGATTGAAGGGCCCTGGGCTCAATTCCGATCAAAGCCAGGTACCGGCTGCAGCTTGGTCGGGGCGCATGCAGAAGAAAACAAATCGAAATGTGTCTGTCTCACATCGATGTTTCTCTGCCTCTCCCCCTCCTTTCGATTCTCTGTAAAAATCAATGGAAAATATTAACAACAACCGAAACCGGTTTGGCTCAGTGCATTAGAGCGTCGGCCTGCGGACTGAAGGGTCCCGGGTTCGATTCCGGTCAAGGGCATGTACCTTGGTTGGGGGCACATCCTCAGTGAGGGGGTGTGCAAGAGGCAGCTGATCGATGATTCTCTCCCATTGATGTTTCTGGCTCTCTATCCCCCTCTCTTCCTCTCTGTAAAAAAATCAATAAAATATATTTTAAAAATATACATTAACAACAACAAGGAAAAAGAATATATACCCTGGGATGAAGATTAACAACAACAAAAGAAACATTTTCTTTATCTTACCTAAGAGGGCGCTAAGCATGGAGAGGTTTGGGGGCTTACGCACATGGCTAGTAGTGGCAGGGCTCCCAGGGCTGTCTGCCTATGAGTCTGGGCCCTTCGTACTGCACCACACTGACCTTGCAGTCCCTCCAAAAAATAGTCAAGGCAGCCTCAGCGACCACAGTGTGCTTGAGCTGTGCTTGGTGGTCAGGGACGACTTGATTAATAAGGTGATGTTTGAGCAAAGATGTGAAGAAGATGTGGGAGTTGGTTATGAGGTATTTGGGGGAAGGGTATTCAGGCAGAGGGACCACCAGTGCAAAGCATGCCTGCTGCAAGCAGGGAAGAGCTGGGGCCTCACATTGGAGTACAGGGAGCAGCACAGAGATGGGGGCTGTGGGAGATGATGCTAGAAAGGTGAGGGTGGGGGTGCTGGAGCAGATCCCATGCATGGACCTAGCAGAAAGGACTCCTCTTTCCCCAAAGCCATGGTCAGCAAACTGCAGCTCATGAACCACATGTGGCTCTTTGACCTCTTGAATGTAGCTCTTCCACAAAATATCATGGCCTGGGCGAGTTTATTTTGAAGAAGTGGCATTAGAAGAAGTTTAAGTTTAAAAAAATTTGGCCCTCAAAAGAAATTTCAGTTGTTGTACTATTGATATTTAGCTCTGTTGACTAATGAGCTTGCTAACCACTGCCCCAAAGGAACACAGAGAATGCACAGCTGGGTTGGGTCTCTGCCTTCCTGTCACTCCCACAGCAGAAAGCAATCTCTGAATTAGTCTTCCCTGTTCCCACCGGAGTTTTTAAGCTACTCAAGGGCAAACTCCATTGTCTAAGGCTCCTGGCTATCCTTCCTGGTGATTAAAATTTGGCCCCTATTGACTGGATGAGAGAAGGAAGAAATATGTTTCTGACTGGCTCTATTATACGTAGGACATGGAGCAGGGTGACACTCTCCCCTGCTCCAGGGAGCAATTAGAACTCACAGTCCTAGGCCCGAGTCCACGAGCTTCTAATCTGCCTTTGAGAGAGACTCTTCCATCCGGGGGCTCAGCGTTTCAAGAAGATCCAGGAAACGTTTGTCATTTGGCATCACTGCTGGCGTCAGGAATGGCTTTTCTCTGCCCTTGTCTCTCAGGAGGGGCTGAATCCGGCTGAATCACAGAAAGCTCCCATCTTGCAGGGACCCATTAGTTCAGCGAGCAGTATGGGTGGCTTGCTCTGTGCCACCTGGTGCTAAGCATGGGGCTACGGTGCCTGCGGCTTATTAGTGTAGGAAGATAATTTAAAAAGCAGCCATCTTCGAACTGGAGTTGGGAAGGTGACAGCTGCCATCTGAGCCCAAATGAGAGGGATGAGTGGGAACTGGCTAGGAGAGGCGGTGGGGAAGCCCGAGGGAGAGCGTGGCAGGAGAGGAAATAGCATTCGCAAGAGCAAGTTGACGACAGAGAGGGATTTGGCATGGCTGACAAGAGTGCAAGAGGGTGTGATGGACCAAGGTGAGGTCTGTGGACGTGACCCTGAAGAGGAGGGGTTAAGAGGGGAACATGTCATGGCTTTCACTAGTATATCTCAGAGAAGCTGGATGGGTAAGGGGACAAGGCAGGAAGCAAGGAGACCAATGAAGAGGATGTCTATATTTTACCAGCAGTGAGAGGCACTGGAAGTCCAGACCCACAGCAAGGTGGGGCTCACTGAGTTTCCAGGTGATAGTGGACAACGGGAAAGGTAGCACTGGGAAGAGGCACAGCAGGGGATCTGGAGGTAGGCTGACCCAGGTTCGAGTTCTGACTCTTCTGGTTACTGGTGTGTTCCTGTAAGAAGTCACTCAAGCCGAAACCAGTTTGGCTCAGTGGATAGAGCATCAGCCTGCGGACTGAAGTGTCCCAGGTTTGATTCCAGTCAAGGGCATGTGCCTTGGTTGCTGGCACATCCCCAGTGGGGGGTGTGCAAGAGGCAGCTGATCGATGTTTCTCTCGCATCGATGTTTCTAACTCTCTATCCCTCTCACTTCCTCTCTGTGAAAAATCAATAAAATGTATTAAAAAAAAAAAAAAAGAAGTCACTCAAGTTTTCTGAGCAGAAGCTGCTTTGTCTATAAAATGGAAATAATTTTAATGATACTGTTTGTATACCTGGGTAAGGGGGCCTGCCTTGGGCCCTGTGCTTTAGAAGCCTAGCTCTGGGTTTCCTTAAGGTAAGGTGGCTATGTGACATGCCCACTCACCATTCACTCCTTTTCTTCTACGTCATGCTCCCAGGATCTGGACCTGGACATATTCTGGCCAAGTGGCCAGCTTCAGGCCTGTGCAGACTGCTTGTCTGTGCAGTATGTGTGGGTGAGGGTTGCATTCTCCGTCTAAGCACAGGGTCCTCAGGTGAAAGAAGAAAGGGGTGAGGGACATGGGTAAGGCTAAGGCCTCACTTCTCCTGACCCTACAAGTTTCAGGGTTCAAGGACACAGAATTATAACCTGCCTTTGAGGTCATTATAAAAGCATATTTGTCAAGGCAAGAGGAAAGAACAAATATTGCCTAACAGTTTGTTAGCTTGGTTTATAATTTTCAAATATTTAGACACATGGCATATGGGCCTGCATTTGTGCATTTGCTTTGGACCTCTCCAATGCTAGGATGGGCCTGATTATGGGCCTGGCTTGCTGGTTTGTTTAAGAAGCAAAATACACTGCCTGTCTGGTGTGGCTCAGTAGTTGAGTCTTGACCTATGAACCAGGTTGTCACTGTTTGATTCAGTGACAGTCAGGGCGCATGCCCAGGTTGCAGACTCGGTCCCCAGTGTGGGGTGTACAGGAGGTAGCCGATCAATGATTCTCTGTCATCATTGATGTTTCTATCTCTCTTTCCCTCTCCATCCCTCTCTCTGAAATCAGTTTTAAACATTTTTTTTTAAAAAGAAGCAAAAGACACTGTACAGAGCATACAGACAAGAGCTATTGCCATTAGAATTTATCTCCTCTCCATCATGGCATCCCAGCAACTCCAGCAGAGTTGTGTCCTTTCATCTTGTAAACACTTGAAGGAATAAGCATCTGGAAGAGGCTGCGGAGAGTATTTCCAGGCTCAGCCCCAGCACATACTGGTGGCAACTGGAAGGAGGCCCCCCTGGGGCATGGGAAGCATCTGAAGGAAATCAGAAATGATGCCCCTAACGACTAAAGTGAAGCAGCCCTGATGGGTGAAGGAGAACCTCTTAGATTCTTCTAAGCATCA